TTTCTACCTTTTTCTGACTCTGCTACTGCTTGTTGATACATTTCCTTGATTCGGGCTTGTTTACCCATAAACAAACGCGATCTTATGTTTTGTATTTCTTGTTTTCTTTCTTCCCTACGTTCTTCTTTAGACAATTTAGAACCGCTTTCAAAATTCTTCTTCAATGCTGACAGAGCTTTTCCATTACAACTAAGTTGTTCATGAGAATATCCGTCTTTTAAGTCAGTAAAATCGTCATCATCGCTATTGTGATCAGAACCAGAGTCCTTATAGCTCTCGGTAACACATCCTTCGCTTACAGCTAAGTTATTTTCTTGCAGTTGGGCCTTTCTTTCGGAAATTGATCGACTGCTCTTAACTACGTTATTCTGTTCTTTTTTATTATCTGTGAGTTTTTGTTGCTGATTATTGTTTTCAAATACTTGAAATTTAGCTCGAAGATTTAATTGCTGTAACTCTTCCAAACCAAGATCTGACTTTATGGATGCTATAAGTACATAAATAAATTCGTTTAAAATCTAGCAATTACAATTATAAGAAACTTCTCTTATACAAGTCAATCAATGCCTATTAATTTACTGATGATAACACATTTGTACCTTTTACTACATCTGAGGGTAATTGTTCAGGTTGATTCTCTCTAATAATTAATTCCGGTTTTTGTGCTTGAGTAGGTTCATTATCTTCAACGCATTTCGGAGAAAAAAGTTGCTTAAAATGCACTATGCAAAATGGCGCCCCTTCGTGACTTTGATAGTTATCCACTCTATTCATGAAACAATTTACTATATTTTGGTTATATGTAATGTAAAGCCATTATTACGTACTTCAACTGTTTGTTACATTCAGTACATCTAAAACAGGTTTTATGATATTTAAATTTTTCCGCTTTGATTTCCTCCATTTTATATACTGGCTTTTGGCAAATGTGACAGGTGGATTCATTTTCATTGTCCAAATTCTATTTGTGAGGTTTTTTAAAAAAGAAAAAATTGTTTTTTTTATTCAATTAAATATACAACAGCTTATATACAACAGTTAATTCAATATTGAAATGAGTGATAAAACCTTTTGTATCATATATTTCTGTTTTAAGATCATTCTTTAATACATAGTGACGAACATAATTATTGGCACAGCAAGTATGTTAAACTTTAATACTTTTTCACCCCATAAATACAGCGATTGTTAATTATCAAATATTATAAAAGAATGCTTAATTTGCTCCGAAGTCTGATAAAAAACAACAAGTCGCTTGCTCAAGTCGCTAAGTGACATCACTGTTGCAATCTGTTCAATGTTATGTATGTTTTCACAAAGTCATATCTTGAATATGTGCACATGATGCAAGTAAACTACATTTCGTATACAAAAAAAATTAATATAAAATTGAAAATTTAAATGAATAATGAACTAAAAGCAATTTTAGGAATGCAGTGCACATTCGACACCGCTGACCTAAATGCACCTATTTCACTGATTTATTTTCATATTTCCTAAATTCTGATAATTGCTTTCGTTTCGCTGTTCATTCACCTTTTTTATATAAATAATTCAGCTGTTTTAAAACATTGAGCACTTATATAGATATGGTAATTGTTGAATCATACTAATTGACAAATTACATCAGAGAACTGCAATGAGAACTTAACACTCTTGTCATTAGCTGTATTCATTTATATTCACTCTATTTTGTTTTCTACACCTACCTCCACCTGACTCATACATAGAAATAAAAGTACTTATAATGACACTTTTCACACTTTTCTATAAACATGAAATATTAAAGAAGACAAACAAAATATATTGCATAGAGCCTCCTTAGGTGATGGTAATCCCAATTTCAATGCTACGACCTGCAACTTCGTTCGTGATTTATACGACAACTTCGGACAAAGTATAGCTAACTTCTGCGAGCGTTAACCTGCCACACTGTGCCAACACACTTGACATTAATGGGATGTAAATTTCTAACAACTCTTTTCGCAAAGTAAGTATCTGCTTTTTCTTTGCAAATGTGCAACAATTTTTAATAATGCCTGTAACATCGGTCATTTTCCTAAGTCCTGGAAGAAGGCAATAGTTATCTCCGTCCATAAAAACTGTGAATCTAAATCACTTCCCTCAAGCTACCGACCTCTCTTTTAAATTCTTTAAATAAACTATATGAATCCTTCATTGCGACCAAACTTAAGTACTTCATTACTCATTGTCGAGTTCTTCCAATTTTCGAATTCGGTTTTCGAAACAATACCTCAAAGGGAATGCGCTTAACAAATTCCAAAGCGATATCTGCGTAGATTTTTCCAACTCTCAACCTACCGTAGCTGTGAGCCTAGATATAGAAAAGGGCTTTGATACAGTGTGGAACGACAGTCGTATCTTTCAGCTTCACCTACTCAATTTCCCTCCTTCTCTCTGGAGCATTGCCTACCAATTCTTGCTGGTAGAAGTTTTATGATCCGGGTCGGTTCCAAGCTTCTGTTCTAGGTCCTCTACTTTTTAATATTTTTATCTCAGACATTCCCGTTCCTTTCTTCAGTGTCAATCAAACTTGTTTCGGTCATGACTGTCTAGTTTACTGCAGGTTCGCTTATCCCCGAATGGTCAGTAATTCCCTCAACCAATACTTAAAGTCCTTATCCAATTACAAGCATACATGGAAACTAAAACTGAATCCACTGAAAGTTTTAACTGTTGCCTTAACGGGCAGTTTTAGCAATCGTCTCAGGAGATACAAGGCTTGTAATATAAAGCTTGAACTTGATGAGTCGTTTCTCAAACTTATTGACAAATTTAAATATCTAGGAAAAGTATTCTCCCCTAAACATTACTTTTTTCGTCACGTTGACCACATCATTAAAAATGCGTCTTTTCGACATTTGAACCTAAAAACCGTCCTACGGCTTCACAATCAACTTAATGTGCAAGCCAAACTTCTATGCTATGCTTTTTACTTATTCTTTTCCCATATGGCCTGGTATTTCTTCTGGTCAGATGGAACGTCTTTGTGTATTTGAAAGATAAATACTGAGTAGACTGAGTAAACTACAGTCGCAAACCTAATAGGAAACACTACACCAATTCTTTTGTATATAATGCTGCCAATATCGAGCGGGTAGATAACTTTCAGTTATCTTTTGCTCGTCGATACTGCACCAAATGCTTCAACCTTCCTACCGCAATACTGCGCACTGATCACCTATCCACTGATCTACTACTCTCTATGAGACACTCTTCAGTTTCTCCCTAGTTCCTAGCTCACCATTTGGACGACATTGCCCACTCCTTCTCTATAATCCCGTTGTATAATCGTGATTAGAGTAACTCCTTATATAGAGTTTACCCTTAAATGATCAATTTAACCTAGTTGTTTTAACTTCATTTACAATTACCATCCTCTAAATCCGTATAAAATTTTTCTTTATGGCTCAGATATATTAATTTATAAATGTTAATCCTTTTGATCATATACTCCATTTTTTTCCTTGTATTCTCGAATGAAATTCCCAGCTTCGGACTTGCACGGTCCCCTGCTCAGAATCTATTCTCTATGCATCCCTGAGATATGGTTTTAGTGGGTTCAAGTGTCACGCGGTGGCATTTGATGCTTTCCACCTATTGCAAAAAAAAACCAAAATTTTTGTGAATGCCAAAACTGATTGAATCAGCAGTCATTCATTTTCGATGAGTACATTCATTGATGTATACCGTACGAGTATTTGCTATGACTTATGAGTTTGCTGCTATGTACGCTACTCTTTTGACGCTGATTCATTAGCACCAGCACTCGTTAACGAAAACACATATGAATCATTTCTATCGCGAATATGTATGTCCATAAGTGGCGTTCAAGAAAAACTTTCGTATGAATTTATATTTTATTTTTATGCGAATACTCTTAATATTAAAATTATGACTTTTTGAAGCTCTCTGATGCAAATATGTATATCAACGAAAAAGTTCAACAAGAGAACTGTGTTTTGCCTCACATCGGAGCAGCAGAATGTAGCTTTTTTTAATAATGTTACCATACCTTCTCCAATATTATATAACAATGTACTTTATACATTATGAATATTTACAGTAAAAATATAATATTATTAAGCTTTAAACGTACATTAGTAAGATTCCGTTTCTGGAGAGCATCAAATTTTGTAAAGCTAGATTTCTGAAAATAGAAAAATAAATTATTAAAATCAAAATTTATTTATGAATATTAATAATATAGTGGTATTCAGATGTAGATCGGTAGACGGTAAAGTGATAATGATCGTTGTAAAACTGAACGATCAAAACAGTTGAGCTTTATTTTCATCAATTTGTTTTTAATACAAACAAAAGAAAGTAACTATAATAATATTAGAAATTAAAGCAAAATTTCTTCTTTTACTTCATTTTTTTATTTATTTTATATCTCTATGTATGTTTTCAAACATACAATAATCCGATACAATAATAAAAATCAGCTGATTTTTTTTTATACAGAAGTTTAACCGATCTCATCTGAATGCCCTTAATAATATAATTTTTATGATATTATTTTTATCACAAATGTCTAACTAAATTGTGAAATTAATAGTTAATAATTATAGTATTTCACACAGTGAATTGGCATTCAGATAGTCAAGAATATCGAAAAAATATCGAAATTACTGTTTCTTTTTTACTCTCACATCCTGTATAAGAGAGAGAGGCAAATAGATTGAACACAGGTGCGACTAACACTGAATATCTCCATTGTTTAAAGGTTCTCTTATTCACGTAATATGAGACAAACAAAACTATTTTTTTCTGGTAAGCGTTAAAGATTTAAAAAATATGTACAACTTTTATGAGGCCCTATGGCTATGTAAATATTTTAATGTTAGTTATGTCGACGTATGCAGCATAAATACGAAAAACAATTGATAGACATAATAAACATATTCAACCCTGTATCTAGGGTGTAAAGAAACCTTCATTCAAAAAACTCACTTTCATTACATTTTTGAGTATTCCTATTCACTTTTATTTTTATTTCCAAGCAATATTTTGGATTGCATTTACTACAATTTATAATAAAAACAGCGCCTATAGGGTGTTGATCTATTCGTATATAGTCAACAGCGAATGTGTGGACACATATGTAGATTGTGTTGCGGTCTTACCGAGCAATTGATAGCAGCAGTTTTTTGATAACTATCATAACAATAGATAAAGAGTGAACTTTCCCTAATTATTTGATTGGAATAATCTTTTATTTTGTTGATTAGGTTTTATATAAGGTTTATAAAATTTTATATTATTTGTCTAAATTAAATGAATTGTTCCAATAATTTAGCGTAAACAGATATTGAAGTACGACTGTGGTAAAAACGTCGATTTAATATCTAAATAAATAATATTTTCAAAGGCTTTCTAAAAATTGTGATTAAGAAGATACATATGAGGACTTATATGATAGATTAGATTAGATTTTAAGATGGGTTAGGAACGTGTCATCACGTCACTGCATCCTTTGAGGAGTATGGCGACATACCCACTTCACTTTCACAGATGAATAGCAGTTAAGAACGCCATTATATGGTTTAGAGAGATGCTATATAAATGAGCTGCTGCGATAGCAGTATTCAACTAATACCGTCTGAGTCTTTTGCAAAAGTAAAATTTTCATCTTGTTGAAACATTAAGTGTAATAATATTGTGACGTACTCACCCCGTGCAGAAACTGGTGGCTTTCTCCGCCACCATTGCGCTAAAATTTCAAAATTAGAAGGTGGAAGATTGCAAAATACAATGAAAAATTTTATTAAAAAAGATGTTCCAATTAACGTTAAGGACGATCTTGTTCATAACTTTTGTTTTGCACAACCGATTTGAAACCTTTTAAGATTATGGAAGGTAAGTTTTCTGTTAAGAATATGTAATCATTTGTTAATACCACATGATTCTTGTTAGGTGATAGTTTTAAAAAATTGGCGCAATATTTTTTATTGGAGCAAAGTATGAGAGTTAAGTAATTGAAGAGTTGTTTGTGCCGAGAAAAACTTAATCGACTAATTAATGTTAAAACTAAGAAAGATGCTGCAGGGACAACATATTCCTTTTACCACCGATAAGTGGACAGAACAATATACACAGCGAAGTTTTCTTACACTAAGTGCTCACTATATTAACAATGACTATGATTTAAATGTGCTAGCTAATCGTGATTTTCCACAAGAACCCAAAATCGGTGATAATATATTACAAGTGGTATATGATATATATTTAGTGAATTGAAGTTAAATGAATGTATTCGGTTAAGCGTTATAGTAGCAGACAATAGATCCAATATAAAAGTAGCCTTTAAAGATAATAAATGGCTATAATGCTTATGCCATAACTTAAAATTATGGTAGATCTTTTGAAGAAATTATATCAATTACAATTTGTTATAAAAGATAGTTGGTTTTTTAACACATTTTATGGAATGTTTAAGCCAAAGAATATCTTATAAAATCTTATTTTATCGTAAACATAGGATTTTGATTTTAATTAACTGTTTTTAGAAAAAAACAAGATTTTTTCTTTTTGCACATTTAGAGAATATAGTAATACTATTCAAATAGTAAACGTAAATTTTAGCATCAAATATGACATTATACATACATATGTATGCGCCAATGTTTAAAGTGCCTGAATCCATAAATAATAGAAATTCTGAAACAAATCAAAACTTAATTCATATCATATTGACTTATAATATAATATATTATAGTAGGATTTAATATAATATAATTCATCATAATTATCGTACCAATATAAGAACTGAATTAAAGCATAAATACAATTAAACGTAGAAATTATTATTTTTAAAATAAATTATATAACTTAATTATATAATTAAGTTATATATATAAGGAAATTATATAACTTAAAAAACAATGTAAACAATATTTGAAATCGATTATAATGAACAGAAGTATATTTAAATATGTATATATGTATATGTTAGAAACTAGCCACCCCGTTGATTTATGGTCACCTTATAAATATTTGACACCCTACTTGTAAAAATATGGTCTGTGTATGTGAAGAAAGCATTCACTTAAGATAAAGGAAATGAGGAAGAAAGTTGGTACTGCACAGACTATCGGTGAAACCATTTTTACAAAGTTTATTTCTAACATACATATATGTACATATTTAATGCGCGATATTTGATTTCTTTTTCACAACACACCAATAACAATGCTTGCGAAAGAATCTAGTAATAAGAAAGTTGTGAAACTGATGTGGATGATTTAAATGGGATTCTGTAAGCCATCCATGTATTTTAGCTTGTTAGGTTGAAGGTGCTTTTTTTTGGAGGAGCATTCGACTTATTATAGTATTAAACACTGTTCAAATACTTCAACATAAGTCTAGTGCACTTTAAAAAAACTACTTGAGCGTGCGTTAAAACTTCCAAAACCTGACTTCGATTCATAATTTTTATATTGAATAAAAAGCTTACTTAGAGCTGTAAGGATTCGATAAATAAATTCGATCGATGATAAATATTCGAATTGCACAATTCACAATAAAATTGTAGCACCATGTTTTGAGCAACGTAGCCAATAAAATATCTAATCATTCCATATTTATAATTTTGTCCAAAGTCGAGTCTTCAAGTTTTACATTGGAATCATTAAAACCGGGTTTTTGTTCGAATTAATTAGTATAACAGTTACCTGAAGTAGATAAAAGGTGAATTTGAGCGATCATCAAAATTGGATTTATTTCAGCAACTAAATGATATCTTTTGTTTCCACCCTTTGAGTTAAATTATTCAAGACATGTTATTACGATCGCAGTAACACAAATTGTGATGCAGGCAGAATAACAGTTGCCTGAACACTTAAGTGAAGGTGGCATCTCAAAGCCTTCTGAAGAACTAAAAAATTTCTTTAGAATTTTTAAAGAAATCTATAGCGACAAATTATTCAAATTTTTATTTCACAGTTATTTCTTTAAAAATAGAAGGTATGTATGTTGGTCCTTTTTTTCGAGTCAGCACAACTGGGCACTTTTACTCTTTGATAGCTGGGGGTACTATAGGGTCCCACCCATCTCATTGACTAATTTATAAGCTAAATGATTATTCAGTGATTGATCTAAGATCTGCGTACCTCCCCGTGCGAAGAGTGATTACTCTAAGATTAGATAGTGGTAAGTAGGATAGCCTGTCAATTTTCGTATATAACTTCAGAGCTCTGTCCCTTATGTATTTTTTGATCGGGTCTATTCTAAATAGAAGGTATTATAATTTATAAAAATAAATAAAAACGTTAATAGAATTGTGTAAAAATTCAAAAAAAAATAAAAATAATGTAGTTAATAGTATTAAAATTATAATTAAAAATTTCTACTTTTAATACTTAAAATAAATATGTAATGTTTTAAAATAATGTGATGTTCTAATATTATGATAAAATTAAAAATATTTTATTATTATTAATTTTGGTAATACAATTTAATATTAAGTAATATTAATCATACAATTATGCATATTTGCATATTTTGCACACAAAGCCATGTAGGTTTTCCATAGAAACAAAACAAAAACCGTGGGATACTTCATTAAAAAATTAATTAATTAATTATTAATTATTTATTTTAAATTAATTTATGTTTATATATTAAATATGTATATTGCAAGAATATAATAATAGTCGTGATTTTTCTTCCAGACAATATAAAGTCTGGTTAAAAAAAATTGGCATCACTTTTTAAAAATATTAAATGTTTTTTTGAGCATATGTCTCTTGTTGTGTTTAATTCATTTAAATAAAAGAAAACAAAATGAATATTAGAAGGGCAATAGTTAGCAATTATATCTTACATATTTAAATTTATTTATGTACCATATGTGCTCATATAATTTTAAAGGATAAGTGGATGTTCGCAACATATTTCCAGTGAACATTCACAATAGACTAATTTTTGAATTTGGCTGCACTAAAAGTTAAGACTCAAAAAGTTTTCCTTCTCCTGATCCAGATCAAGGCATTCACAGAGAATGTGACTGGAAGTCTTGTCTAGTTCGACTATCAATCTCTTATGACAAACCCATTTTGTTAAGGTGATAACGCAGTCCATGCTGAGCCGTTAAATATCCTACCAGCAACCTCAACTCTGTTCTGCTGAAAAAGGATACCTTCCCCAACTGTAGGTTATAATTGAGTAACTATCCTTCTTAATGAAATTCACTCAATCTGTTACCAATCGAAATAAAAATATATCTGCCACTATGAACTTAAAATAATGAAGAAATTACATTTAATTATTATAAAATCACGTTGTAATGGGAAATAATTCTTTGTGCCAATTTTGACCATTCAGCCAAATAGATTACACCTGCTACTGATTATATGTTTATGATAAGTTTTATTTATATTAGTTATACATTTATATGTCTATAATATAATTAATGTAGCTATAATAAAATAATTTCTATCTTACCATTGAAATGTTCTGTTTATCCAAACTAGTTTTCTTGTTTTTTTTCAATTTTGGTTTTTTGTTTAAAGTTACAACATCGTCCTTTTCGATTGAGTCCAATTGAATTCCGTCCATTTCCTCCGATAAACAATTGTTTTTTTATATAAATTTTTTACTGTAATATATATTAAGGCACAAGAAACTTACTGAATCATTTCTTTCAAAGCTTTTTGTGTTAGTCATAGCCTCATGTTCTGAGAAAAAATTTTCTTCTGTTTCTTTTAAAGTTACAAACATGTTTTCTTTCTTTTTTATAGAATTAGGTAATTCATTCTCATTGGTAATACTAGTTCCCAAGTTTCCACCATCCGATAACTTAACAAAAGAGTGTTTGGCATCCTTCTTTTTAATTGATGTTTTTGTTGTTATTTTAGATGTTGTTTTGGTTGTTGTTCTGGCAGTAAAAGACGTATTCTCCATGTGCTGTTCGTCCGTAATTTTAATTTCATTTAATATGTTATCAGTTTTCTGAAGTATATATTATGTGATTAATTTTTCAGGTAATACAAATATTTTCGCTTACATTTTGGGAATACATAATTATATCCTAAAATACAAAGAAAATTCTTTCATTGAGCAATTGGTATCTACATAAACACTAATTATTTAAATCATGCAGAAAGCTTTATATTAGCAAAGTGTATTATTGTTCTTTAAACAGGCACGTTGAATATTACTTATTTATGTTATCAAAGTTAATATATTTTTTTATATATCTATCAGGAGATAAAATTTTCTTAAACTATGCGTAAAAAATTTAAAATGTCAAATTTTAGTAAACTTCTTGTGCAACGTAATTTTCGCGAAATGCATTTACCTGAATGCTTGGAATACCACCGAATAAACTTGAATCAAATATTTTATGGTTATATGGTACACTCATCAATTTAAAAAAATTAAAAATAGTATTCGTATAGTTTACTTAAATCTATTGCACATGCGTTCTTGCATTAGCACTTTTGTTATATATAGATTTACAGCGGCCTACAATAATTGTTCGAAGACAAGAAGATTCTTAAATTTCGCCCTTTTTCTGTACACACAAAAGCAATTGTTGTATATTTCAACTCCTTCAAAAACTTATCTTATTAGTTTAAGGAAAACATTAAATTAAAATATTAAATTTGTAACTTTATTTTATTTTCTAATTTTTTTCTTTCTTTCATATAAGATATAAATTTAATATATAAGTAGTGACCATTTTATCTCTTCAATTCAAAAAATATTTCTCAATCGACAATTTAGTAAAATGAATGGTAAGAAATAGTAAATTTACGAAGGGTGTATAAAATTTAATAAAATTACATTTTTTTTTTTAATCTTAATATTTGATATTTTAACATTATCTCTTATCTCAGTAACTCGACACTGATTTTCGAAATATTTGTTTATTGCGGATGTTGCCCACTACAAATAGGAAAAATAGTCGTTTGGGATCAGATCTGTTAATTAAGGAAGATGGCCAATGAATTTAAAATGTGTGGTGTAAATTGTAGCCATGGCAACTGCCGAAAGGTTATTTTAGCTATTATCTTCGTAAAATGAAACTTTTCTTGCAAATGAGCAGGTTTTCTAAATTTTTAATTTATCAAATAATATGCAGAGCATACTTCTGTTTATTGTATGATTACTTTCCATATTTTTAAATAATATTACATATTTACTTTTACGTTATTGTAATGCACTCTGGCTAACGTAAGTTATTTCAACATATTCTGCTTAAGGATTACCAAACTAAAGAGCATAAGGTTATAAGGGCTTTAAATAAAAAGAGTGTTAACTTAAATTAAGTAGTTTGGGTATGTAAACTAATATTTTGCACAAAATGAAACAAATAAAGGCAGACTCGTCTGCATTTTTGCCTTATTCTTAAGATTGATTGCATATGTGAGCAAAATATAGAAGATAAAACAAATGAATACCCACATCCAGAAGGCAAAAAACTCAAGTAAAATCCCTTCACAATTGCTACCAGTTAACATATAATTATGTTTCTAAGATACACATTCTCATGTTTACGTTTAACAATGGAAGTATTTGTACACTGTGATCAAAATGTAAAATATTTAATTATCCTTATAAATTTATTTCTTTGTCTTCAAAGTACTCGCCTTCTGATTTAATACATGTTGCTTTATCTAATCCTAAAAATAGTTATTGAATTCGATTTTGGGAATACCCTTCGGAGCATGTTTTTATTTCCCCCATCGATAGGTGTCCCCGAAGCGGTCATTTGAGCTTAAGGTATAGCCAGAAGTCACACAGTGCCAAATTAGAAAAGTACGATGGTTGTGAAACGATATATTGAGTTTTTTGTGAAATGTTGCGTTATGATGGTACAACTAGGTTTGCAACTATCTCTTCTAGCAACTTGCTTTACGTTAATGTTAAATAACGATCAAACAATCTTTATTGTTATCGGTTTGGCCAGCGGAATGATATCATTATACATCACACCATGATAATCGAATAAAACTGTTAAAATGTCTTTGAGCTATTAACAACTTTGATAATATCTTTTCTTTGGTGGCTAATTTTTTGTACGGTATTCGCTTTATTGGTCGTCTGTTACCGGATCTTATGTAAAGATTTAAGTCGTATTTTCAATTATAATCATGCAATCATATGCTGAGAGCCCTAAAACTTTTTTGACAAACCTTAACGTGACGCTGTTTTTGGTAAGAAAATTTCATTTGACATCAAACGAGAAAATTGTGAATAGATGATTTTTGAGCACCAAATCTTTGATTTCCTTGATTTGTTGTTCATCAGTTGATGTTGATGATCGCGTTTGCGAGTTTTGGCTTCAACACTTTCTTCGTATTGTTTGAATTATTTATATTATTTCTTAAAAGTTTACTAATGTTTAATTTAAAAAAAAAAGTCTAGGGCGAAGACACTTTTATTCAAGCTATTTATTATTTTAAAAAATTCACAGGTTCGTAAAAATAAGTAAACATCTTTCACTAACCGAGAGCCTTGTTTTTTATTTTTTACTTAGTTTCGATTGTTCAGCAAAGTAAGTAAGAAGAATTAAGAACTTCTTTCTCACCCCCATTATATACATAATTAGGTTTAATACATTTTAAATAGAATGTGATCAGGAAGGCTAACTCACTTGATAAAAAAGCGATTTGTAATATATTTTTCATAAAACCCATGCACATTCAAATTCAATATAGCTTTCGGTCTAGTATATTATATATTTTAATATTTTCCTGTTTTCAAAAAAAAGAAAATGTATAAATTCCTTCTTTATGTTGGTTAGAAAAAATTGAATTAGAACATCTTAAATAATTTCTTTTCTTTTTTTTTAATAATGAACACGATTGTTTCCATAAATATTTCAATTGTTACCTGTTTACCTGATTTCAAATTTTTCAGATTATCTGTGCCGAAGAGCCTTTGTGCTTTTGCCAGATTGTAACCGATTTCAACCGATTTGCTTGAAATTTGATATATAAACGAATTAAATATTTATAAAATAATAAATGTCATTACATTATTACTTATTGGAGTTTTTGTTGATACATAATATATGAGGTTTATTGAAGGTAATATTTTGGTAGCTGTACCTGATACGTTTTTTGGGTTTGGCAGATAGAAGTGAAAAAGGCCATATTAAGACGCCGACTTTTTGTACATTTTCACATATAAAATTTTATTGTTAATTAGAATTATACATATTTTTAAACACAACAACAATATCATAAACTTTACAAAAAAAAAACAAAAATTATCATTTTTCAATAAGTAGTAAAGAAGTTAAAAGGGTTGAAAGTTCGCCCAATCTTTGCGAAATCTCAACTTCGCCAAAATTTCATAAAATTGCAAATAAATTAAGAACCAAATATTTTGTAAGAAGGTAGATGTTGCAGTGGACGGAATACCATACGCCACGCAGTGTGTCAAAACAGAAATTAGCCGATCAAAATTATGTATTTTCTAAACCAGTAGAGGTATTGAAATGAAATATCTCTCTTTTTGAGATGGTTTTTCTTTTAAATCCAATTTGAACCCAACCGGCCTACCGGAATCTCTCCAAATTTAGAGCAAAAATTTGGTTTTCATATTTTCTTAGTTACCTCAAAAACCATCAAAGTTAAATTATAGACAGATTAAATACTTACACATATGTTCTAATTTTTTAATTATATTCAGCCCTTTGCAATATCTACCCCTCTAAATCGTTCATTATCGTTCAAAAAACTTTTTATTCTTATCAGACCATGTATACATATTTATTACGTACATCATAATACAACCTTATGCAAGAAATGGGAGCGATCCGCGAGTTTGTCCTAAACCCCTAGACCCTTTAACTTTTTTCATCATCATCATCATGTTTAATCGGATTTGATATCCTGGACTTCAACTCATTTCAGTTTCTCTAATTTGTGCTTCTTTGCCATTTGATTTTATTACTGTGATCAAAATCGAACCTTCGACAAATACCTATATATATTTACTTGCTTACTACTTATATTGTAATAAAATTTCTTCTTCTCCTTTTTCTTATCCGCGTCCGAAATAAACTTTGATTTTTTGATTATTTGATTATATATATATGTGTAAATTTTCTATTGATTCTGTTGATTCTTAATTGTTCTGATCCGTCCTTAAATTAATGGC